TATCAGTAAAAGTTAAGCAGGCAGTGCAGTTAATGATGGATTGGAAAGATATTATGTAGCTACTGGGATGACAGAGTGATAGAGAGCGAGTGAGATCTAGAAAAGCAGAGAGTAAGAGAGGTAGGGAGAGAGAGAGAAAGGGAGAAGCTTAAACAGAAAGAGAGGTCGAGAATAAGTGAGAGGGAGCCAGAGAGAGATAAAGAATAAGCGAGAGAGATAAAGAGATAGATAAATTTAGCTAGAAAGAGGAATCATCTAACTCAGCTTACAATAAGCATTACGCAAGTCAAGGACAGAAACTGACAATGAATAAAGACAGAGAAAGTTAAAAGGATTAAGCATTCAACAGAAAAATCAAAGGACAATGAAGCAAGAACCTAGGAGGGGCAGGAGAGACTTCGAGCTGTTAGCTAGATTTCCTAAGAAAGAGGCATATATCATTTTGATAAATGTAAGTCAAGGGCAGAAGACAACATTGAGTTGAGTTGTTAAGCTTAACTCATTAAACTCTAAACTCATTAAACTCTAAAGCATTTGCTGCACCCACAGCATGGGGCTATGGTATGTGGTTTAAGAGCTAGCCTCTTTAATTCAATGTAGACCATCAGCATCAGCGATGCAAACGACAAAGCAAATGGCAAAAATTCTAAAAATAAAAGAGAGAGGAGCAAAAACTAATTGCTGCTTTTAGGCGTTAATGAAAATTACAAATTGCGCATACGCCGCATAGTGCAAGCGCGCCATATGAATGCATGTATGACGACGTGAGTGTGTGTGTGTATGTGTGTGTGTCTGACTGTCTGATTGTATATGTGTGTGCATGCTGTGGTTAGAGCCACGGATCGATGGTGCATTGTCATTGCATGTGGTTGCATAATCGCTGCTCTACATTTCGCGCATGAGTGCAGCAGCAGCAGCAACAGCAACAACAACAACAGCAACAACAACGATCTCAACAACAAGCAAACCCATTAGAAGTTGCAACATTTTCACATACACACATAGAAAGAGATTGCAGTCAGCCAGACAGCGCGCAACGGGCGGGCGCGAAGGTGGGCGTGCCCCTTCTAACGGCAGTTTTTGTGTTGAGTCATTTTTGCGCTCAAAAGCACTCAGCAAAACAAATAAACACTTTGCGCATTGTTTCGTTTTGACAAATGCGTGTAATTTACGGAAATGTTTGTTTGGGCAGCAAACCCAGCCCACTCGCTGCCCCCGCCCCCCTCCCCGCCGCTGTCTGTCTGCCCGCGTCTCGTTTGAATTGTCTTAAGCGTGTTTGCACGGCACTCACATGTCGCTCGCTGAAGCTGGAGCTGCTGCTGCCGCCGTGCCTGTAGTTGCTGTTGTTGTTGCTGCTGCTGCTGTTGCTGTTGTTGCTGCTGCAACTGCAATTAGTTGGCGCTCTAAAAGCCATGAAGTGAGCGCTGACTGTGCACATATCGTGCCACATTCGCCCACTAATGACTGCCTCTGGCAGTTGCGCTGCTCTCTTCTTGGCTCCCCCGCCCCCTCTCCCTCACTCACGTACACTTTTCCCCCCTTTTTTTGCAAATTACAAAGGCGCTACAAAAAATGGTTTTATGTGTTGGCAGCTGCTCATCAAAGTGGCAATAAAATATATGCGCTCGAATGGCGAATCGCGAATAGTTCATTACAAGTGCACAAGCTGCCACGCCCATACACCGTACTCTACCCACTCTCTATCTCTTTCTCTCTCTCTTTACGATTGGCAGCTACAATTTGTTGCAATTGGCCGACAGATGAAGCGCGCCGCCTTTTGTTTCGCCCATCTCGAAAAGGGTTCGCTTTGGCCCGCTTTGTTGCGGTCTTAATGAGCAAATTTCTGAGCCCTGCTGGCCCACTTGAGCTGTTGGCTCTTACGCAGCGTCCTTTTGTGAGCCAATCTGCTTGTTGTGCTCTTATTGTTTTGTGCCTTCTCCTCTCGCTTGCCTCCTCTTCTCCCTTTCTTTTTGTTGCTTTTCCAGTTGGGTTCGGCAATTTATGATACCTTTGTGGTTTCAATATCGTCAAGCAACATAATTAAAAATTGTGACAGCCATAAATTTTTGCTCTTCTCCGGCTCCCAGAGGACCCAGATAGCCAGGGCCAGGGCGCTCACAATGACAAATCAGCTGGAAAAATCGTTTGCCCAGCACAATCTGAAGTGATGCTGGAACGGGCTGGAATGCTGCGGCTTGGGCACAAGGAAATCAATTAGGCCACATTATATGCAATTGAAGTTGAACTCGAGAAAAGTAAAGAAATGAAATCAACTGGCAGAGCAGGGGCAGAGTGCTTAAAGCTCAACTGAAACATTTGATGGCGCTCATTGTGTTGGCACTGCGGCTGGCTGTCAGACACATGGCCGGCCACTGATTGCTTAGACGTTGACGTTGACGTTGACGCCCACATCAGGTCCGGGCGCTCGCTTTTCACAGCTGCCATATAGTTGGCCCTGACAGGCCAAGGAGCGGGCGCTTGCCTGGCTGCGGGTAACAGTTGCCTTTGCCTTTGCCTTTGCCTATGTGTCTATGGGCAGAGTCTTTGGCGACAGCAGGGCCAGGCCCCCACCAGTGTTGTAAAGTGTCAAAACGTGTACTTGTCGCTGGCAGGCAGCAGCAGCAGCTCCTTTAATTTGAATTTTATGCACTGCATGCATAAATTTATGGCACAGGACACGCCCGCCAAAACGTCGACAATGACAAAGGCAACATGACAGTCACACGTCCATTACGTACCACACACACACACACACACACAAAGCGAGCGAGTGCTAAAGATGCTGGTAGTTTATCTATTTAAGCTACTCTTTAATAGTTGCTCAACTTTCGCTTTTGTCTTTTACTTTATCTGCGCTTTGTCATCGGCATTTATTTTAATGAAATGCCCGCTTCTAATTAATTGCTGCAAATTAATGTTTAATTGCAGAGCAGCGCGCTTGAAACGTTTAAAAATGCATTTGCAATATGCAATTGTTGTTCAAGCCAGTTGCGTGCATTGCCATCGAATTCCGCCTACACACTATGGACACATGACAAACTTAATATCCTGCTGTCAGGCAGGAGCGGGCACTCATGCCAATTCTCTGTCATGCCTGTCAGTTCAACTGCTATCTCTCTCTCTCCCACACTCGCTCTCTCTTGAAAAAACATGTCGAAAATAGCATTTGCAACGTGCATCAAAAAGTCAGGCGACAGGCAACAAAAGTGCACGCGCCTCATTGCATTATAAATGCCGCAATTGCCAAGAGTGCTGAATATTTTTGGTCGGGCCGAGTTCTGTTATTGTTGTGGCAAGGCAAGGCATGTCTATCCGGCTGTCTCTCACTCACACACATTGACTGGCACACACAAGTCAATATCATGGCATGGCAAACGATCTAGCAGCTGTTCCAGCTGGGACCTTGGCATGTCATCAACTGAAATTGACAGCTAAAACTTTCTCTGCTGGCAGCAGCAGCAACAACGCGCTGCAATTCAGACAGACAACTGATTAAAGGTAGATAAGCACGTGGAAGGGTTGACAATGTTTATTTATGCAATTCTTTATTTATTGCGAAGGCTATTTAAGTTCCAATGAGGTTAAAGAGAAATTTAAAATGAAATGCTAGACGAAGGTTCTTTTCCTCATAATCAAGATTGAGTTTTCTTGTTTCTTTTCTCTCTCTCTCTCTCTCTCTCTCTCTCTCTCTCTCTCTCTCTATCTCTCGCTCTTTCAATCTCTCACCCACTCTCTATCTCGCTGCCTTACATGTTTCCTGTTGTTCTTTCCCTCACTTTCACTTTCTTGCATTCCCTCTCCCTTTCCTGCCTCTCTATCTCACTGTCTCTCTCTCTCTCTCTGTCTCTCTCTGTCTCTCTCATTATCTATCTCTCACTCACACTCTACATCGCTGCCTTACATGTTTCCTGTTGTTTCTTCTCTCACTTTAACTTGCATTCCCTCTCACTTTCCTGCCTCTCTCTCTCTCTCTCTCTCTCTCTCTCTCTCTCTCGCTTGTTTCTTCAATCTTTTGCCTTCTCATCTTTCACTGATTCACTCCCTCCACTCTCCTCTCCTCACCCCTCGCTCTTCAGCTGACTCTTGCCACACTCTATTCAACAACGCCTTTCTATGCGATTTTCATGAAATTTAATTAAGCCCCACAGCAGTTGCTCTGTTACACTGTACAGAGGAAGACAGATTTGGAAAAGTTTCGCTCTTGTTGTTATATAAATAAATTGGCTCTCGTTCAACTCAACAGCCTTGCTTCTGGCCCCATCTCCTACACCCTCCCTCCCCCACCGACGCCCTCTCTCCAACCCGTTATGTTATGCAAAGTGGGTCAATTCCAAATAGATGTAAATTCTCATATAGATAAATTGCATTTAATCAACATCTCGTATGCCATTATAAAAGATCCACATAATGTGAAATTTATGCATTTATTTCTGGATTACTTAAGCAGTGCACACTGTGATTACGGGCATTAGATTCGTTTAGCAACAACTAAAGCTAAAGCTAAACTCAACTGTGACCAAATGTCACACGTGGTTTTAATTATTGTCACAAGTAACTATCTGCTGCTGTGTGTGTGAGTGTGTGTGTGTGCGTGTGCGTGTAATTACATTTTGTGGTATTTTGTAAAGTGTTGATTATTAATTAAAATAGCTTTATTTGCCATGGCACGCATGCCTCTGGACTTGTTAGAGCGCCTATCAAAATAACCGAATATCAGATATGCAGTTAAATATTTAACATTGTGCGCCTAAATACAACTCGTATGCATGTAATTATGCCATAACGAGCTGTACGTGTGTATGTGTGTGTGTGTGCTGTGTCTGTGTTGTGCTAATGGCTGTAATTAAACTGCAACGTGAGACGTTTAAATGCAAATTGCTAGCAAGTGAACTGCTTTGACTTTAGCCAAATTGTATTTACCAAAAGCACCAAGTACTCATCTCTCTCTCTCTCTTTCTCTCTCTGTCTCTTTCTATTACCATCATCTGTGGCACTGGCAGAAGGAGTTATTCGTTAGCAAAGTTGAGCCAACTTCGCCGCGCAACGAACGCAAATTCTCGGCCGCCACAGCGCCATCGATGAAAACAAAGTGGCTGAAAGCATTTAAGAGCCTAAAGCCGGCGGGTTCTGGTTCAGCAACACAAGCAGATAGGTAAGTGCCACACCCCCAGTCACAGGTCACAGCCCACCGAAGCCCATCTACAAATACAAGCCCGCACCCCGCCCCCCGCAACCCGCAGCCCACTCAAACAATTCATGCTAAAAATAACTACCATCGCATGCTTATATATCTTTGTACCACGTTTAAGCCAAAATGCAAACACTCTCCCCCAATATATCTATCTCTGGATGTATACAGTTCCAGTTCGTGGCAAATGAAAGCAAAACAGCTGCAAATTGTCGGCAAATGTTCCAACTGCATAGATACAAAATGAAGCGCGGCAAAGCCAAAGTAAAAACGTAAAAAAAATATAATAATATTTTCTAGTATTCACCCACACTTTAATATGACTAAAAGCCGCGAAAATATGCCCTTAAAAAAGTTAAAAAGTCGAGCAAAAATTGCAGAAAAAAATGATAAAAAATTCGAAATGGAAATGGAATTTTATGCAAACGAAAAATCTTCCTCAAAATATTTCCATTTATGCAATTTTTGCATTTCCAAATTTACGTTAAGTAATTTAATAGAAAAAGAAAAGAAAAATAGAATAAACTGGGGAAAACGAGAGCTGAAAATTTTCCTTTCGTTTGCATTTGGCAACCATACAGTCGTCTCTCCCCCTCCACCTGCCACACCATCCGCACACGAACAGCCCACATAACGAATATAAACGGAAACTAAGTTAGCTCTTAAGCATATCCTTTAGGCATATCCTCTTTGCATATCCTTTAAGTTAGTCCAGTTTAACAAATGTATTTAACTAATATTCTCTACACATTTTTCTCTACAAAACAAAAAATCGTTTGCGTTCGAACAAAAAAAAAAAAAATATATATAAAAAACAACATTTATAACATTCTTTTAATTTGACGACAAAATCGTACAATATATATTTATATATACATCAAATATATACTTATATATATCAATGCAAATCAGCCAACAACCCCGACAAAATCAAATGTACCACGCCGTATCAACCGTTTTGACCTTGAGGTAACCAAAATTAATCAAGCAACAAATAAAAATCAATCAACATTTTCTTTATGTTTCTAATCGAATGGTACMACAACAAAAACAACAACAACAATGTATATTAAAAAACATATTTTTTGCTTTATTAGCGCTTGATAGAATACCAAAAATAAAAGCAAATAAATTGCCATAAATGTTGCACGCAAACGTAGAATTAGCCGCTGCCCCGCAATACAAAACAATTCGTTTGTAAAAATTCCAAAATTAAAATTTACAAAAAAAAAATCCATTCAATATATTAAACAAATATTAAATATGAAAAACCTGCAAAAAGCAGCAAAAAAAAAACTAAAAATGTTTTTTTTTTTTAGTTGCATTTTTCACTATTTCACGTTTTATAAATTGAATTATTTTTTATTTATATAATTGTTACAGAGAATTAATTCTAAATAACAATTTAGTTTAAAGCCAGAGCA